CTGAGATCATTTGCGAAATTGCAAGGGAAAAAGGCAAATGTCCTATAATTGCGATCGAAGGAACAACCGTGATGAGGTAAAACAACGGATGGCCGCAGATCAAAATGAAACTTCGACTAATTCCGAAAATACTACACCAGCGGAGAATATGCCTGTCCTTACGCCTACCAACGATGCAGGTAATGCGAATTCGAATGAAGAAATTAGTGAGAATAATATTAATGGAGAGTCTAGTAATGATATTGCTGATCATGGAAATCGAAAAACAAGCGCAAGAATTTAAGAGGCAATTCGCGGTGGATTCCTCAGATTCTGATATCAAAGCGCCAACTCGCCGACAGCGGTTAAATCCTGCCCCGAATGTGAAAAATAGTGGAAAGCAACGAGATAAATCAATGGCTGGCAAACAACAACATGGACATTTTTATTAAGACTCATAATGGCTTGGTTGATTATATCCTTATTATATATTACAACCCTAATGACGATTGTTGCAAGCATAAACTGCCAAGGGCTTAGATCTGCGGAAAGACGAAAAACAGCTTTTTCTTTTTTCACCCGCAGCAGATTTGATATTATATTTTTGCAAGAAACTCACTGGACAGCTGACATGGAAATTGAAATACAACGCGACTGGGAAGGTCACGTTTCCTGCACCCACGGGACAAATTCCGCGAGGGGCGCTGAGATTTTAATAAGCTCGCACCTAGATCAAAGTGTTAAAGAAACAAAAAGAGACAGTAAAGGTCGTGTTTTGAATCTTGTAATTTAAATGGATGAACAAACGATAAACTTAGTGAATGTTTACGCTCCCAACACCGACATTGAACGGCGGACGTTTTTCTTGATTTTAGAACTCTTTATTGCAAGGGAAAACGAAACCATATTTGGGGGTGACTTCAACTCTATTATGGACAAAAGACTAGATAAACTTGGTGGAGATCCAAATTCTCGACAAGCAGCAACTTATTTTTTGCGTCCGTTTTATGAGCGTTATGATCTGTGTGATATTTGGAGAGAACAGCACAAGGATGAGCGGAATTATACGTGGACTGGCCGTATGACGTCCAACCATTTGTTCATTCCGACAAGAACTGATTTTTTTCCTTACTAGCCGCGCCTTGAACCAGTTTATTACGGCTGTGGAGATTAAGCCTTACGCACATTCTGATCATGATTGTATAACGTTGGAAATTGATTTTGATAAGGTTCACCGCGGCCTGGCTATTGGCATTTTAATAATGATTTGCTTAGCGACGTTGTTTTCCACGCGAAAATGGAGCAGTTTTGGACAGATTGCAAGGAAAAATTTAAAAACTTTCCTGATCCTCTAAAATGGTGGGATGAAGGAAAACAAAACTTTAAGATTATAGCCATCAGGCAGAAATCGGAACGTTGTAGGCATGTGCGCACGCCTTGCGTGCCTACTGTTTTCGTAGAATCATGGGATTGAACAAATCATGTGCTTTTGCTGAATGTATTTTACTGATCATGTCTCGTGGATTAAATTTTGTTGAGTTTCATCGGATTTGAGCCTAAAGTCCTTCTTAAAGCGACCTAACACCCGATTACCTTTCTGAATATGGTCCTTCGAGCCTGAATGGATCGGCAAATCTTCGAAGAAAGCCCATTATTTTGTACAATTCTGGGAAATTTTGTGTTTGAATCTCCGAGCGAATTTGATCTCCTTTGTAAACATGGGAAAGAAAGGAAAGTCTACAGCCATTTCTGCGCCTACCAAAGCTGAAGGAGGCGAAAGCCAAGCAATATCTCGACGGAAATTACAAGAAAACGTCAGACTCGAACCGCATATAGAAGATCCACCGAGCGTTTGATGGAAACTGCCAACGAAGTTCTACAATTCATTCACGAAAACCCGTCTAGTGTGTCTGAACAGCGACCAGTGATCCTTCATCAGAAAACCACCTTAAATGAGTGACTCGAACTCTTGCAAGGCCTTGACCAGGAAATCCTCGAATCATTATCAGAAGGAGGAATCATTATCGTGGAGGAGATTGAGACAACCGACCTTTTTCAAGACAAGGTGGATTTTGTTATCGCTCGACTGGGTGCGGTGTTTCCCGCCGTTTCAACACCTAGAATGAGACCTATCCTTTCTACTTCAGACGAGCCGACCTCTGAAAACGGACAAACAGAAACGGTAAGCGCAGAGTTTGTATCTAGCCCTCGAGTGAAACTCCCAAAGTTGAGCTTAAAAAAGTTTGACAGAGACATTACGAAGTGGTGTACATTCTAGGACTCCTTTGAGGCCTCTATCTATGAAAACACTAATATCGCCACCATTGATAAGTTTCATTATTTAAACTCCCTCTTGGAGAAAACAGCTTGTGAAGCAGTTCAGGATTATCCTTAACTACCGCGAACTATAAGGAAGCCATTGCTATCTTGAAGAGCAGATGTGGAAATAAGCAAATGATCATCAGTAAACATATGGAGAGTCTTCTCAACATGGTTCCTGTCTCTTCCAACTATGATTTGAAGGGTCTAAGGAAAATCTGTGATCTAGTGGAAGTACATGTTAGAGAACTTAAGGCACTTTTGCAGTGTCTTCTGAGTCATATGGTAGTCTACTATCGTCAGTCTTGATGAATAAGGTACCCCAAGACCTACCCCTGATTGTGTGCAGGGAAATCAAAGGGGGAGACGGGGAGCTAGATTTGTTATTGAAGGTGCTGCACCAAGAGCTTGAGGCACGTAAAAAAGCCGCCAAATCCCAGAATACTTACAGTCCAACTACAAATACACCACACCGGACAAATGATCAGCCTTGGGATGATCCCCCTACGGCCTCAGCTCTCACGTCCACCTCACGAACCTCTCCCACATGTACCTATTGTAAACAGCCTCATGCCTCCAACAAGTGCGAGACCGTGACTGAAAAAAAATTGTTTATGATGCGTCCTGTAGGTGGCACCTCATTGAATGCCTGTCTGTTTACTGGCCCATCTCTCTCCCAGAAAATTGTAGACATCATCCTTAGATTCCGAAAACACAGAAAGGCCTTTGTAGGGGACATTGAAAAGGTATTCCTAAGGCTAAAGCTAGCAGAGGGTGGCTTCAATTTGAGGAAATTTGTGATCAATTCAGCCGATTTGAGGAACCGCATAGAAGAGAATGAAACCAGATTGCAAGGTGTTTACCCTGCCCCACCCACCACGAAAGAAGATGCGTCTGATAAAGCGAACCTTAAACCAACCGCAGTTAGCGATCCAACCTCTAAGTTGGTCCTTGAGGATGAGCAATCCTACACCGAGATGTCACTTGGAGACACACAACCTGATGATAAGCTGTAGAGATAGTTCTAGGAGTTCAGTAGGACTTTGTTGGAGATCAGTTAAAATTTCTTCCTCAGTAAAGTCGGGAAAACTGAGACGTCCAATTCAACTGTTGTACCCGTTGGAGATAAGACGTGAGAATGAGCGCATTGTCGCAGACAGTCATGAAAGTCCTACAGTAGACAATGCCGATGAAGTATATCGACGCCTAACACAGCCAAGGAAAAACCCTAGAAGAGCCGCAGCGATAGAATCAGAGAGGAGAAGACGAGCTATGATTGACGCGCTTATTTAATGTGACACCTGTTTTATATGACACTGGAACACTGAACATTGATCCGGACTCGTTTTTTCTACCTTGAATGTAGGGATCGATGTTGACCAGTCTTAAGTTCCATTTGTTAGCATTACATTCACTGGTCAACAGGGGGGAGGGTGATATGCATGTGCGCACGCCTAGCGTGCCTATTGTTTTCGTGGAATCATGGGATTGAACAAAGCATGTGCTTTTGCTGAATGTATTACTATCGATCATGTCTCGTGGATTAATTTTGTTGAGTTACATCGGATTTGAGCCTGAAGTCCCTCTTACAGCGACCTAAAACCCGATTAACTTTCTGAATAGACAGGCAAAGATTAGGGGTAGGTTGCTTCGCCAGGAACGGTTTCAGTTAGAAAATAATATAGTACAGTTGTAAGAGCGAGCGAAGAATAACACGACACCGGATATAGAGGAATACCTTCTTGCGAAAGAAAAGCTTAAGAAGTTAGATTTGAAAGACCTGGAGGTACTAAAATACGTGCAAAAGCGCAATTTATGGAGGAAGGAGAAAAAAGCACGCGTTACTTTTTTTCTTTGGAGAAGAGTCGTAAAGCGAATCAGACAATTAGCGTGCTGACTAAAGATAATCTAGATACCGTCACCGAGACAAGAGATCTACTTTCTGAGACTCGTGCTTTCTCTAAAAAACTTTATTCAGCGGAGCAATGTGATCAAAATGCACAGGAGACCTTCTTTAATGCTACGATTCCGGATTTGCCGGAGGACGCGCGTAATTCGTGTGAGGGAGAACTGACGGAGGAGGAATTGCGTAAAGCAGTCACGGCAATGGAACTTGATAGATCGCCTGGAATAAATGGACTGACAACCAATTTTTACAAACATTTTTAGCCCCTTTTTGGCCCTAGATCAACGCACGTTTACAACTATGCATTCAGATCGGGACGGCTCTCCGTCTAGCAACGCCGAGGAGTTATTTCCCTACTGTTCAAGAAAGGGGATCGGACTTTGCTCAAAAACTGGAGACCAATTACGCTTCTTACGACCGACTACAAAATCTTAACGAAAGCGTTCGCTAATAGGCTCCAACAAGTTCTACCGCTTATAGTAAATACTGACCAAACGGCATCGATTAAAGGAAGGACTATTAATGACAACACGAGGCTATTGCATGATGTGATTACTTAGGCAAATGTGAATAACATTCCACTCGCGCTCATAAGCGTGGATCAATTGAAGGCTTTTGAGCACGTCTCGCATGATTTTCTTTTTAAAACATTGCAGCGCCTTGGATTTGGCCCAGACTTTGTGCGATGGATTTAGGTTATCTACAATTCCGTATCAAGCTCAGTAAGAACAAATGGTTGGCTTACATCCTTTATTGGATTAGAGCGGGGTCTCCGACAGGGTTACCCACTATCTAAGCCCCTCTATGTATTAGCAGCGGAAACAATGGCCTGTAATATTCGGCAAAATCCAAGGATCCATGGCCTTCGACCGCCGGATTCGGAAGCAGAAGTGAAGCTCTCTCAGTTTGCTGACGACACGACTTTATTGTTGACTGACGAACAATCCATCATTGAGACTTTTAACACCTTTGACCCATATAAACGCGCTTCCGGCGCCAAGATCAACAAAGGAAAATGCAAGGGCTTATGGCGTTGCGCCTTCGCACAGCTCACCGATCAATTATTTGGATTTGATTGGTACAATGACTTTATTCCCGATAAGATCCTTGGCCAGTATTTTGGAAATGTGGATTGTACCCAGAGAAACTGGGAAGCAAAAATTCAAACGATTAACAATATCATCGCTGCTTGGCGCCACAGAGATTTGAGTTTAAAAGGCAAGGCACTCCTGATCAACACGCTACTAACATCCACTTTGTGGTACAAACAAATAATAATAGCCCGGAATAGCTCGTGTTGTAGACATCTCCTTTTGCTCTTCTCGCCAACCATTTTCCTTCCCTCTGCCTGCGGGATTTAGGTGATTTTTTTTGCTCTTTTCTTGTTAGCATTTTTTAAACTTTCCTAAAAGAATAGCCAAAGACACTGCAAATAACTCTTAACCAAACGAAGACAAGACAACCCCTACAAAGATTGCCACACTCCCTAGTGTAGCTTCCTCTTTTCCACAAGGTCCTTTCTTAGTATGGTATTGAATGTGTGATTCAGATTAGCAACACGATGGCCTTTTTATACAGGAAAACATATGACCCCCAGTTATGTTGTCAAACTATTTCCACTGTCTGCAGAGGTCAGGGTTGGCCTTTGAGTCCAATACAGAAGCAAGACGACTGAACTCAACTATTTGATCCTACCATTCGATCTCTTGACTAGTATAGGACTTGGGGGTACCAGCGCAGTTTTCCAA